ACGCTACCATCAACTAATACTACAGTTTAATGTCATGTCACTCGAATGTTCCACACACTATCTGCTTGATGTTAACTGATAAATAATTTAATCTGATAGCATTTTTCGCATTGCTCATAGTGATTCTCAATGTCATAAAAACGTTTATTTTATACGGAAAAAAGAATTTGCTAACACAGTAAATTTCACGTCAATAAAATTATAATAAAACTTGTTAGTTATTATATATGGATAGCAAAGAGATTTGTTACGGATGTTAATTTTATTTGCTGCAAATAATTTTGCTAAATCTGCAAATTATATCGCTATTATAACAAATTGATTTTTACTTTGCTATCAAAATTTGTATTGGCAGCGACAATTTTACTGCATTTTAGCAAAATACATTTATTAGAAATGTACTCAATAAAATTCATCTATTCTATCAGTAAAATAGATTTTGCTGATATACCGAATAATTTGAAGAAAAATAAGTTATGATAGAAAAATTTTATCGCTATCATATCTAATATGCAATAGCAACGACGATTTCGCTGCGATAGCAAACTTCCTTTTTCCGTCTCAGTTAATCGTGATCGATATTTTCAACATTAAACTGTTTGCGAACAAGGTAAAAACGGCTTACGATATTACGATATTGATAAAAAAAAAAGTGGGTGATGTCTGTTTGATTTGCGGAAATTTTCCATTTGTAGAATCGGAGATAAAAAAACAACGATAAAATAACACCGGAGAGAATAAATAAATATTATAATTAAATTACAAAACGGCAAAAGAGTTTTTCGAATATATATATTATTTGCATCAAGACCGTTTTTTGTGTCGTGGGCACGAAACGAGTACAAAAAGAAAGAGAAATGTGGTTCTTGCACACGTACCAAGTAGAACCACCCGAAACGGTCGTAAGCCGGAATATCCTCATTGCTTACTATAGTCTTCCCCATGGTAAGGAGAATATCTGGGTAACCTGTAAATAGCAGTTCGTCCACTGTTCTACACGTGTACAGTTTTCTGCCACTTAAGAGGTAGGACAGAGATTTTTGCAATGTGATGTCCCAATATCGAACTTTATGCGCTGCCGACTGTAAAAAAAACGAAGGTGACGTTATTAGCATAGCAGAAAAGGTCTCTTGTTCTTCTTCTTTTTCCAGGTTAACTAGATTTCCGTGTTACTATTTTTAAATTGGAATGTGCGAGAGAATGTAAGGTGGCTATATCTTGACGGCTGTATCAACTTCCATTGATTATATATCGCAAGGAAAGTGACACAAGTCGAAATTTTTCGAATTTTGTTTTATATGCGGATTGTGTTCTAAATACATCGGCCTTTAATCAGGAAAAGTGATAAAAGTTGAATTCGAAGACGTGAGTTCGCTATGTTTAATACTGCCGTAAGTAATTAATTTGAAAATTATTGTTTAACCTAGCATAGACATGTAAAATTATTTTCCGTAAAATCAAGCTTGCTTCAGACGATTTATAATTTGCGACATAATTTGAGATAAAAACCAAATAATATTATTGATAGAAAATGTTATTAACGCAATTTCTTCTTTCTTCTTTTCTGAACAATTTGATATTTTTGGCTTGTGTCACTTTTCTTGCGGGTGTGCGATATCACAATTATATTCTTGCCTTTCAATGTTACAATTGATATTAAGAATGCAATTTATAGTGTGTATATTAAGCGTATGACAAAAGATGCAATAAGTCAGCTCACCGTAGCGACGACGTCCAACTGGCAGGCAACGTCCTTGAGACTTCCATTGCTGCATTCCGCATCAAAGTACCATAATTTTCGTTGAAAATAGCTGACAGTTTTGTTTTCGTGGTGAAACTTAATATTTTCTTTTTGCCTCACTTCTCTGCAATTAATAATCATACTAACAGTTTTTTTTTTCGTTTTTCCATTATATTATTTGGTTTCGTATAGCGAAAAATCTATTTCTTTTATTTTTGTCTTATCTTATAAATTTATAAATTTAAAGTAAATAATTTTGATTAAAAAAAAGAATACAAATTAGCATTTATTCTATTTATGAGGAAACATTGATATTGATTAATCATGAAGTTCACAGAAAAGATATAATATTAGCACGTCGCTGCATAAATTATTTAAATTGATAAAATATTTATCAGTACTGAGCAATTATACAATTGCCATCAGCAGCATTTTTTATTGGTTCTGATTATTCGATCATGATTTAGACCTCTGACCTACATATTTTACTTATTAGTATTAACGGGGCAATTGCTGTGCAATCGTAAGGGATGTACGTGCCCAATGATGACGACCATGTCTCTTATTGTCAAAGGTGTAATCTTTGTTGTGTAACAGTCGTAAGATTAGAAACGGAAGTACGATAGTAGAGGAAAGATATTAGAGAAGAGAATTCTATTTTAGTTCAATTACTCGCGTCTTTATGACTCGATGATTATACAAAAGGAAAACATACGTGAATTTATATTAATAATCAAAATTTAATTCAAGGATCGATGAAAATAGCAAACCCGATAAATAAAGATCTTCAATATGCATTTAAAATTAGCTTTTATTTGTGATTATAATTTTTTGTAATTATGTAATCTTCTTAGTTAAACGTTGCAAATAATATTCTTGTAAAATGCAATAAATCATTGAACACATTGAGACTATTACATGTACATGTAATTCAATGTTCCAGACGTTTTTATTGATACGTCGAAGTTCTTTTCTAAACCAGTCTATTTCTAAACCAATCTTTTCTAAATCAAATGAAGGACACGAGTGGACAAGACCACATTTGCGAGGAGTCGCGATTACATGTTACCTATTTGTCCACTACCAAGAAGAAAGTAATTAATTAGTCAATTACTTCATACAGTGTCGCCTACGCGTCGCACACGAACGGGCCTGGATGTTTTATTGTTCATTAAGATGTCAATACAGCGAGGTTAACTATTCCTTCTTCATTGTCATGATTAAGTTCGTTATCAAATTGTGCAACTTTGTATAGTGAGTCTGATAGAATAATCTTATCTTTATTATATTTTTTTTCATGAAACGCGCCAGGCTTTGTGTGCGTGTCCTTAGTTTATTTTATTTCCTCGTGTTCATAATAATAATTGTGCTAATGATTATGTTGCAATGATAATGATTGCGTTCAGAAAACACAACGGTTGTGCGGCCGCTCATGTGTGTGCCATTGGAGTATTCTATCAGATCTTTCATATATCTAATGGTATTCCAATCAGAGGTAATAATTACTGATCGCTCACTAAGTGCTTTGTTCCGCTGAGCGCAACCAATTGTTACGCAACGCTGCTCCGATTACAACAAAAACGAACTGACCAACTTAATCTTGCGTCGTTATAATTTTATTTCATGATATACATATCACGCCATTTATTTTAAATAATTTTATTCTATAATAGAGGCTCGTTAGCTCAATGATCAGAGGTCAATTTAGATATATTTATAAAATCTGTCGTGCTTATAAGAAAATTTAATCAAAATAATATAACATTATTTGTTCTAGAACATGTCAACGATTGTGATTATAATTATATCTTATCTTGAAAGACATGTGCGTTGGTCGCATGACTACTAAATTTTATATTTCAGAGGTGTTATTGGCTAATAATAATTAAAAATAAAATTCAAATATTTTGTTAAATATGTCGATTTCTTCAAATTAATTTATGCGCGAGAAAAGGTTATCTATGGATTTTGTACAAAGGATTAATGTTGATCTCGTCGGTGTAAAGGAGCACATTCTTTTTCTTATACAGAGTGTCCCTGACTTATCGTATCACCCGTTAATGGCAGATTCTTGAGGTCATTTGGAGACGAAAATCTTAATATCAAAATGTCGAGGCTACTATAGTATTTGAATGGGAAAGGCTTAAAGTTTACCAATCAGCTTGTCAGAATTTCGCGCGCTGACGAATTTACTAACAATAATAATTTCTGAATTGTATTAAAACACGATACGCGTCGAACTGTCAAAGCAGTCGTGCCATTGACAAATGACGTTTCTCATGTCATGAGAGAAAATCAATACTATCGGCACGAAGTATGATCTGCTACATAAAGTGTTGTGCAAGGGTCCTTTCGAGATGCGATGTCCCTGAGCGCGCGAAATTCTGACAAGCTGATTGGTAAACTTTAAGCCTTTCCCATTCAAATACTATAGTAGCCTCGACATTTTGATATTAAGATTTTCGTCTCCAAATGACTTCAGGAATGTGCCATTAACGGGTGATACGGTAAGTCTGGGACATCCTGTATTTTGTCGCGATCTTATTAATCAAGCGGAATAACTGCAATTACTTATTTAGGTGAAGGTTGCTTACCTAAAGCAATAAGGGCCAAGCTGATCAAAATGCGGCTTTTTTCCACGTACATTCAATTCCTCCGGATTGGTCCAATTGAAAAAATGTACTTTTAAGAACATCGGTGGCAAGCTATTGGTGTCCTTCCATATAGGAAAACTTCTTGAAGTCGGTGAAAGAGCTAATTCCTAGTTATACAAAAGTTTTGCACATTAGTTATTATTACAATACTATACCCAATCTAAAATGATTTACAAGATATTATTACGCTAAATATGATAATAATTATTATTACATATCAAAAGAATGAAAAGATATAAGCAATTGTGAAAAGAGTAATGGTAATCACATGCCTAATATCTCGTGAGTAATTTTGGATGTATGCAAATGGCTTTTGTTTTGAAACAACTGAAACAACATTTTAGTAGCTTTGTGATTTATGCTAAGAAGCACTATACTAATTTTTAGCAAAGTACAAATAAATAGTTTTGAAAAGGGTTCTTATATTAATCCAATAATTTTTAAGATATAAAAGAGCTATTAAAAGCCAGGTTCAAGTGCTCAAATATTAATTATTCACTAACCGCACGCAAATCAATAAAGTTTATTTTTGGCTGATTAGACTGTCATCTTACATGTAGTTAGTCAAGAAGATAAAACTCGATGCGAATACATATAGTTATTTATAATTATTGTAACATCTTAAAAGATGATATCAGTCTCAGTTTTATCAGTCCAAAATAAACTATGCTATTTTGCGTGCAGTTTAACGACATATGATGACATATGTTTGTCGTCGTAAGTTTTTATTTATTGCGTGTATATTGAAGATGGCCGAATCCGATGTAGTGAAACGTTTGCACATTAATGAATAATTAATATTTTGAATACTTTCCCCTGGCTCTGGCTTTTAATAGCCTTTTGTACCTTAAATTAATTTTTGCCATATCTGCATGTCTCTTCTACGTGTCAATATTACACTGCTGATGTATACTTTTTCAAGTATACAAGTATTTATCTTGATTATTACAAAGTTATTACAAAAGATAACGACTCGTCGATATCTTACAAGAGGATTTACATTTACGATTTTGATTCTAACACAATATAATGAGGAAAAATCGTTACCGTATTGACATGATCGAAGCAAAAAAATAATAGAGTACTTAAAAGTAATCAGTTATTAACTTGTCATGATCACGATAAGAATCGGATCGTAGATGACAGCAATAAGAATCAACTCGTACAACTGTTCAAAATCTTTGCATTCATCTCGGAATTAATTTCATAGGAAAGAAAAAGGCTGATAAAGAAAGACAAAGACAGCCGAACATGATATAATAATAACATGTCCATGCCTTTTTTTCTATCTTTATCAGCATAGAGATTATTCGCGTGCGATGGTGTTACGAATGGCGTGAAGTCGTTCGCGACGGATTGCAATACAGAGAAACGCCAATTAGTGGGACAATCGACCACTTTTCCAATCGGGCAGAGAGTAGCGCCGAGGCGAGTGTCCAGTCTCTAAATGCATAGTATGTGGACCAGTTTAACGAATGATCCAAGCACGATGCCTGGTGCGTTAATAGACGTGATTCATTTTCTGTGATCGCGAATGAAAGAAGTGTATTTATCTTCGAAAAAATCGATAACTGGCTAATCAAAAGTCAATGGCATAAATGGTGTTATTTTACGATAAGAAAAAAAAAAAATTGAAAATATAGTTATTACGCTGCAGGAAACGATGATAACTCAAGAAGACGAGGTTATCCGAAGTATAAAATAAAAACACAGAACAAGATGGGCTAGTACTAGATGATAATCATTATATAACAAGGATATATTAAATATATGTATTAAGCAGCATATATTATAAAGGTGAACAATCTGATATCATTGAAATGTCATATTCTTGAGCAATTTCTAAGATGATTTTTTTTGCAAAATTTTGCTTGCCGCAGCTTAATTTTTCAGTTATATTTGAAAACAGTTAACTACTCACACGAGTCCGATACAGCAGGCAGAAACGATATAACACACAAGATTGTAGGTAACACTTGACAGTCATTATACGTTCCCTAACAGCACACGATATTCTGCGTATCATCCCATTTCCATACTCATTCTACTGTGATTATCCGTTAAATACTGAGATCAATCCTATAATATCTTTTGCAGTATTATTCGGTTTTCTTTCGCACACGTATAATCTCAGGTTTGACTCAAACGTACGGAAGTGATATGTACGCACTTCTATCGCGCGCGTATAATCTCAGGTTTGACGAGACCAGCACTAACCTGCGCCATTTACATATGTAATTCCTTTCCCTGCTTGCCCGGCATCAAGTGACACCACGCAACACCACGTATCCGAGGTTTTACTGATATCGAAGGTAATCCTTTTTTCCTTTAAGTTTTATTTCACACAATAGTGAATAAAGTGTAAGAGCTAGATAGTGTCTGTATATGATTTTTGTAATATTTTTATTATTTTTTATGTACTTGTTAAATTATTTTGCTTAAAATATTTTAAGGTTATGTTCGTAAACTTGCATTACAATTGCCTCTTCACCTTTTTGGTTCTTGGTTAAATATACAATACATTTTCTTAATTATTTTTTAAACAATGTCTTAAAAAGATGATTTAACATAAAACTGTTTTCAGTTCGCAGTATCGTTCCTTTGAAGTTCTCTAGCTTAGGCTTCTAGAACTTTATTTTATATTGTAAGTTTTATGTAAATATTTTTACGCTTACAGTCGTAATTTTGAAATAAAAATATCAATTAATAAGAAATTGACTGATTAATTAACCTAATCTAAATTATCCTATACAATATATGAACGCGCGCGCGTTTCAGCACTTGGCTGTGTAAATGTGTGCATGTATATGTGACCTACTGCACCATTCCCATTTTTATCCTATCTTGATACTGTCTTTAAACTATAGACCTTCCTGCGAAATTCTATGGAAGATGGTACCGCGGACATACAATGATTCCTAGAACGTACTACGTACATCGCAGTATATTTGAGAATGTTCTGAGAATATTACAATTATACTTTTGCGATATTCTCAGATTGTTCTCAGTATCTACATGTGCTGTTAGGGTTGCGCGTCCCTATTTGCCCGCGAATTCGTGAATAACTAACTATTTGCAATTATAACTACAAGACTTTGAACTCCAAGGCTTTGAACAAAATTTTGCAAAAAAAAAAATTGTGTTAGAAATCGTTAAAGAATATGACATTTCGAAGACATTAGATTGTTTTGAATCATTTTGTATATGTATTGATTTAAAATATAATCCGTCTGTTTTGTAGAAGTTAAAAAACTTGAAGATAAAAGTGCTAGTATAAATCAATAAGTTTCTCTCGTACATAAAACATTAATGATTGTAATATGTGACAGAGAATTTTTTATCTACTGTCTTATCTTTTAATTGTCTCTTAACCCCAGATAACATAAAACTTCCGAGAGGCATCTTGGATATTTTTAGGATATTTTAAAACATTTTTCAGGACATCAAGATAATTGTTTAACAATATGATCCCAGGATGTTTTATGCTGTCTGGGAATATGTGTAAAATTTTCAATAATTAAACTACTACACTTCTCAAGGGTTAAATTAATTATGATTTAGAAATAATGTGATCGCATTTCATATCATTGATATACAAGAGATTAGATATGTATCGTTAATAATTATCATACAAATTCGTTTATTTTATCAAACGGTAACTGATTTAGGTATCGACAGCAAATAAGTCAGGGCAATGTTACGAGACGTAGAAAGAGAGAGTAATCGCGTTATAAGAGCTTGACCGTGGAACACGCTCAAACCAGTTTTATCACCAAAGAGAAAAGATACTAATATTTGGAAAATAAACTAAACACAATGATTATTGTCCGCACTCACTTTTTGAAGAATATGATGGAAAATCGTTGGCCATAGAAAGCAGATGGCATTGCCAAGGGCTATCAGGAAGAGCCCGAGGATGCCAAAACTGAGCGACTTGTTCGGTCTCATAGCGTCGCGCGTATCTCCGCACAAACTGGTCGCCGTCTCTTCAACATGTGCACCCTGAACTGCAGCGACCGGCCTCTTCGTCGATCACTTCTCTCACTCTCGCGGTTTTCCGGCCAGCAATCCGCGCTTTGGAGTCTGTGAGATAAAACGTATCTAATCTACCAGTCAACGACGAATTTACGATTCGCAATCGCGCGCCTATGCGTTCGTGAGCGCGCGCCAGTGACTGTGTATGCATGGCGTGTTTCTTACGCGTTCCCTAGTCTTGTCGACCAAGAACGCGTAGGCGTCGCCATGAATAGATACGCCTAAGTTCACGCTTGTCAACTAGCATGCCAGATCTTTGTGAATATTTTAAAGAAAATTTTTCTTTTGAAAATGTAAAGTGGAGTAAACATCAAAATAATGCCGAGCAAAATTCATGATTCAAGGTTGCATAAATATTTCTAAATGTAAGTCAATATAATTTAATATAATCGATATATTTCAAAGCTCCGTAGAAAAGTAGTAGTAATAGTTTTTTTCTTTTTTATGACTTAAAATAAACATGTGTAAAGTAATTTTTGTTATGCTTTTCTCGAGTTACAAATATTTATATACTTTTTTATCCGTTTACACGAATATAAATTTAATGCAAAATTGCATACGTAATCACATTAAATCGCAAAAAATAAAATATTTATATCGCGTATTAAAGATTAGACTCGTATATTTATATTTGTGTTTGTGTAACTGTAGAGAGAAAAATATTTATATACGACATTTAACACAGAAATGTCAAAAGGATAGCGATTAAGTATCGTTGCTGTTGTGAGATATTCCAATTTTATTCGACTCGTTATTTACGTATTATATGTACGCATACGCCTTGTTAGTGAATCGCGATAGAATACTAAACGCGATTTGTCCTTCGTTTACAAATCCTTTACATAATTGGTAATACAATGGACATATGTAATCAATAATAATAATAAATCAATCACAAAATTTGCTTTAAATAACGAATATTAACATTACTTATAATTAAAGACTTTTAATTATACATAATTTATGTCTATATATAAAGTAGTATATGTATGTAAGAATAATGAAACAAAATTATAAAAAATTGTAAATTGAAGTTGTTTATTTGACTTTTACAATTGAATTTTTGGTATCTCTGATATAAAAATATCATCATGTCAATTTGATTATATATTTAATAACTTGATATGTATCAATCATTGAACAAACGAGTATAATTTAGAGTATACAGGAACAAATAATAACAGTAATGTTTAAATTGACATCGTAAAGAGAACAATTGGAAATATATAATAGATAAGTTAATTATTAAGATTTAGATATATATATAAATAATTAAAGTGCAGATTGGTATGCAATTTTTCATCGTTTCTATCTCAATTAAATTCATCATTTTTATGTTGTTTAAAAGCTACTAATAAATTTTATTTAATCACTTCTTAATTGCTTAAAAGCATATTTTACTTGGAAAGATTTAATATTTTTTTATGTATTTTTCTTTTTCTTTACTTTATTTCTTCTTTTTAAACATATAGTTCTATAGTTCATAGTTCTCATTGTTTTATTTTTGTTTTCTACATTTTAATTTTAATGATATGTCAAATGTGCACCTTTAGCAATATGCAAACAAAGTTCAATAATTCCAAGTTAATATTTGTAAGTAATAAATACCTCTGATTGAAAATGATACACTCTCGGACTTAGAAAACAAAGTGGCGTGCAAAAGTAAAGTTGATTTTTGACGAGTGGCTTTGTAATTTATCGCATATAAATTTATATAAAAATTTTCATAAAAGGATAAACAAGATGGAAGATTTCTTATTTCAGATTAACTGGAACAATTAAACGTATATATGTTAATAACAGTTTATGCGACGAATACGACTCGCTTCATATTAATAATGTTTTTACGATGATTTATAATATATAATTTTATGATTTTTGCATAACGATTATAGATTTATTACCCAAATTATCCGATAATTCACTTTTTACATTATGCAATGTCTTATGTAACAGTCTTTGCTGTCTTTGACGATATTATTTTATTTTATCATTTTTATAATGCCAGAAAGATTTATTTATTAATAAAATTGATAATTGTAAATGTATAATTTCACAAAAGGAGATTGAGAAAGAATCTAGGAACCTAATTAATAATATTTTATAGAGAATATAGAGTATGATGGACCTTGGAAAACGTGGATATGTTGAAATGTATATGAATAATTCATAATATAAAATAATTTGTTGTCTATGAGCTCAGACAAACTTCTGGGACAAATCTTTTAGATTATGGTACATAAAAAATCAGAATTAAATTTATGTAAATGACAATTTATGTAAATGAATATTATAAATTATTCATATATATTTCTCTCAACACATCTATTTAATATTTAACACATAAACATTTTATTAACATCGTAATTAATACAGATATATATATATATCTGTATTAATTACGGTGTTAATGAAATGTTATATGATAATATTACAAAAGGTGGTGATATTATATGTTCTTTTAAGTTCTTTTAGTTTTTAATTAGTTTAATTAGTTTGGTTCCAAAAATGGTTGCGATATTTTATTAAAGTTTTTTGAAAGAATATTATGGAAAAAATACATTTATTAATTAGCGCTAAGCAAAGATTGGAAAAAGGATTTTGAAATTAACAAAATAGATGCATAATTGTTTATAATCTTAAGAAAAATAATTTTTTATAAGTATGCTCATTTTGAAATCAATTGACAAGTGTATAATTATTTATAATCTTAAGAAAGATAATTTTTTATAATGCCCTAACTAGACCGGAGGATGATCCTACTTGTGGCTCATTCGAGTGCATAGTTTGACAGACCGACCGAATCGATTTAATTGGATAAAAAAAATTATTTGATATGGTTAATACAATTGGAAGTCAACTTTAATATAATTTTAACCTGTCAAACTATGCACTCAGATAAGCCACAAGTAAGATCATCCTCCGGTCTAGTTAGAGCATAAGAATGCTGTTTTGAAATCACCAGAGGATAAGTTATACAATTTATGCAAATAACAATTTACGTAAGTAAACATATTGAATCAATAGCAATAATAGCAGCTTACTGTTTATTAAGATATATAATTTCCATGTAATTGTTATATCGTTATATTGACTTGGAAATGATTGAATAATGATGAAACGTAATGAAATATCTGACAGACGTATATAATTGTTTATGTTTTTAAAAAAAACAATTTTTGATAAGAATGCTGTTTGTCAAACTGACAGATATATAATTGTTTGTATCTTTAAGAATAATAACTTTATAGAAATGTTAACTTTGAAATCACCAAAGTATAAATTAATAACAATTTATATAAAAATATTCAATCAATAGTAATAAAAGCAACTCGTTAATTTCTTTTTTGCGATATTAAAGTTTTTTTGTACGTATTGACATACACCATTATGATTCATTTTGTAGTGATAAATATTTTATAACTACAAAATGTTATCGTCATTTCAAACGTAGATTCCAGAATTAAAAATGAATAAGTTTTTGACTTTTTGAACTCACTTCTTAATGCGCAGAAATTTGTCCTGTTTACTTTCCAACGTTGGGATGTTAACGCACACGAAAAATTGGCTTGGTATTACTAGGTGAATAGAAATTTAGTAAAAAATATTGTTATTTAAATGACTTCCATTTAAAACTACTAACGTAGTCCACGCGTCCGAAATGCGTTTCTATACGCGACGCGATTGTTACTGACGAGCACTGTGAATCAACAGGCAGCATCTAACATCTCGTATCCCCACTCCAGGTAGATTTTTCCTCCGACCGTCTCTGTCCCTTACACCCTTGTTCCCGACCGCGCCTTGTTCCTTTTCAGAATCCCCTTATGGTTATCAGCTCAATTAGCTGTTGCATGGATGAAACGCGACCACGTGGAGAACTTTGACCTTCTGCCGGATTAAATTCTTTTGTCGCGACTCAGCATGTCTGCTCTGTAAATTCTTCATTTTCGTGACCCAGCGCAAAACGATTACCGTCCGTAAATATCATGGAAATGATGATATTTACAAGGAGAGTAAATATTATCAACAGTGTACACGAAGTGAAAATCAGCGGCATGTTTACCACAATTTGATTTACCAGCCACAATTCGGTTATCATACAAAGGAAATACGATACATTTTTCAGAAAATAATATTATAAAGCTAGATGAAATTATTGAATTTCTATAATCCTACACTACTTATATTTTTAACTTTCAAGAATACATGAGAAATTTCTTTGTACATTTTCTTCACACTTAGACTTTGTTCCCACTAATTAAGTCAATAGTGTTAAAATGAATTTTTTGCTTGTTTGTTGAATATGTATTGATAATGTTTGTGTGAGTAAGTTGTACTCACGTCTCAAGGCGAATACATATACATAAATTTTCCTTATGAAGGACGTCTGCTATATGAAATAATATCCATACAAAGAGAATTGCATGAACCGCATGTGAAAGTATTTATATTTTCGCATCACACATGTGTGAAGCAGTTGGTTTAATTATAATTATAATTTGCGCTTGATAAATTAAAAAATGATATACGATCCAAAAAGAAAGTTTTAACGAGCCTATGAATAAGACAAACAGTTGTTGGTTTCATTATATCGTGGTCTTATGTAACCGTGAATAAATTATCGTCGCATGGTCGAACCGCGTCAGTGTATCGAATGGAAGTAATCCGATTTTGCACTTTGTACGCACCCTTTAGCCACTTCTCTTTGTCTATAATTAGAACTCAGGAGATGAAGATAATGATCTAACGATCAACCGATTAATGTTAATGTTCGTAATTCAACAGGAGAAGATTTGCAAATAAATTAATTTTTCATACTGAAACATGTTTATAGAAAAAAAATATATAATTGTTAGTCCAAATTAGTAGAAATTCTTAACTGTTAGAAAAATTATTACTTTGCGCACCTAATATTGCGCTATCAAGTATTCAGTTTTATTGAATAATTGAAATATTAAATAAAAATGATCTCTGTCGGACAATTAAAGTAGTGCGAGTCATACGTCTAGACGTCTTTTAATAAGAGCGGAACCATATATTGTTGATATAATATACCAAAAGGGTTTTTTTTCGCAATTACACGTCTGCCGACACGCCCACTGTTCATCGTTCGACACGCTCCTCACATCTTTAAGTAATCGCTTTCAACTCACTTGCGGCCGAAATGCACGAACCCCGCTCGATCCTCGCTCTCGACCTACTTTCCTCAAATTCCACGTGGAGATGAAGCTGAACTCATCGACGCGTGCTGTCTGATGAAGCGTTCGAGATTATGCGCCACAGGTCTTACACTTTTGCTTTTCTTATTCTTTCCGTCTATCGTTCGCCGCCATGGTTTCATTACTTGCTCACTGATATTTTCTATTTAAAACGCTCTCTAACATCCTGGCACTATGTAGAAACGTTTTCCTTCTCGTTTTACCGGTTATTTCGAGGTCTGCCGGTCATTCGTCGGGAAGAGCAAACGCCGGCGCTGTGATTCCCGATCTGTCGACGACACTGCGTCTTCGAGACTGTAGTACACGACCCTGACGAGGGCAGTCACGCTCTCGGCAGGTAGCCTCTAAAGTGCAACCACCTCTCTTTTAACTCTTGTTGCACTAGTTATGTTGTTTATCGGCGTGCGCGAAGAATTCGCATTTCTCGCTTCCTCGATTAACCTCACAATCTGATCCGGCGATTCACGATTGCATAATTGCTTCATTCATAAATCGATCGAATACACAATAAAAAATTATTCAGCGAGAAAAATACGACTTTATTGCAACGCCAGCGCGCGTAACGAAACTGATTCAAGTAATGGCGACGATAGTATGGAAATTAGGTATGGAACCAGCTGCGTAAGCGTCGAAGCGATAAGACTGGGAGCTCGTCGTACACGATGCTCGAGAAAGGCTGGGTGGGAGCGTGTTTAGTATCGTCTGCGGTTAAGTGTGGAATTTCAGTCAATAGGCAGTGTCATCAAGTAGAACTCACGAAGGCTTTGTCAAATAGAACTGGACAAATAGATAGAGGGCTGGGTGACTCTTTGTTCAAATTTTCTCAAAAGTTTTACATATTTTCTTCTGACGCTAAAGCGTGCAAATTTTTAATAACTTTTAATTTGAAATTACGTGTATATATATGTTTTATTTATATGATTAAATAATATTACAGTACTCTTTTATGCTAATTAGTCGAGTGATAGATAAAAGTTTTCTAGTATTCGATAAATAGAAACTTTGATCTTCTTTGTCACTGAGAAATAAATTGAAATAGAGCGTCTTGTACTTGTTAATTGAATTCCAAAATACATTGACAAAAAGATGCGTCAGTAGCTTCTTGTATATAGGTATAATTTGACGTATACTTATATGTAGATACATTATATCGGGTTATTATCGATCGTTACGGTGACGAATTGATGTCTATTGGCTTCATTCAGACTTATTAAAATCTTATTTATAGGCATTACAATTTTTGGTTTTATTTTAATGAAACGTTTTTAAAAGATTTAGTTTTTATAAGCATATTGAATATATACACACATTGGTCTGAAGAAATTGTGTGTTGTGCTTCTCATTGCGTTATGTATATTTATAACTCAAGGGCGCTCTCAACTTCACTATAATTTGAGGAATACTTACTATACTGCAGTAATTCTAAGAAAAATTGAACATAACTCTAATAATTTAAAGTGTGAGAATGTTAAAATTGATATATTATATCAATATATTATATAATTGATGTGCTATGTAATTATTAAGAATATTGCTGCATCTTTTAATTGTAGTAAATATATTAAAAATATATTAAATAAATATATATAAATATAAAATAATATATATATATAAAAGTGAATATATTAAAAGCAAATTGTTAACTAATTGAATAATAACATAATTTTTTTGCAATCTGTCAACAATAATTATAACTTTGAGTTCTTTTAGAAGTTAAAAAAATATGTTAACTAATTGAATAATAACATAATTTTTTTGCAATCTGTCAACAATAATTATAACTTTGAGTTCTTTTAGAAGTTAAAAATATAATTATTTAATCGCCTACGGTAGTTATTTGTAAACTATCAAGAATTGTTGTAGGTCAGTTTCAGGATCTATAATGACACCGTTCGAAGTGCGTTATAAGTGCGCTCTTCACAATAAAAAATGTACGACATTGCTATGATTTCCGCGACTGTCAAGGACAGTGTATCGCTGCGATCTTGCAGTTGATCATGTTGCGTCATCAATAATTGCGCGCACGTCGAGAGATCTAAGTAGCTGCGTCTTTACATATACCGTGTCGATCATTTCATTTCCAGCGGTTTGCTGCTGGAAGAAGCCATTATGATCCGACAGGCGACGTCAAGTTATCCACTTATGTAGAAATACTATCTTTTTGTAAATTACCCAGTATCGGTCGGCCGCTTACGAAGCCTGTCAATGCTCGCTGGCAAAGAGTACTCGGTATTTCGTCATCCTCGCACAGATTAGATATGGACGTAGTCATGTGAGACGCATATAAGCCAATTGCAAGATGTGATCTTGTGTCTAAACAATCCAGACGCCTTTAGTGCTGCTATGATATATTGTGAATAGCACACGTGGCGCAGCCACGAACAATGCCAGATATGTCATCAGCTGTTTACAGCTATATTTTCATGTTAAGACATATATAAATTCATTTGAAATATAATGAATCATGTCAAGCGTGGGACTTTGAACGAGCGAGTTCAAATATTTCTAAATCGTTGATAAAGTTTATCAGAGCAGCAATACTCGCTACAATGCTACCTTTTCACACAATATAAATATAAATTTTATCGACTGTATTGAAGTAGCGCGTTTGTAGAAATATTTTTCAATGGATAAAATAAATATGTACTATATATAAATTATTTTGGAAAATATTTTGCAAAGTATATAATTGTATAAATGAGATATTCGATATTCAAAAAGTAAGGTGATATTTATTAAATGACTGGCACAAAAAAATGCATAAAAATATATACCTTCGCACTTCTCTTTATTGTTAATTGAAACTATTATACAGGTATATGTGACAATGTGTGTGTGCCGAATAAAATTAGTACACTTAGTAACAAGAATGAAAAAAAATAAAACTTCCGTGCATATCGGCGGACATAATTTATGTACAGTAGAAAAAAAATGTGCAATGTGTGTCGCAAGCATGCATGATTTCTTTTGATACACGATCTTGTAATTGACGGTCGACGACCTGTAATTCGCATATGAAGTCTAGTCATTTATAATGTGCAATTACTTAATAAAACTGTTAAACGACACACAAAGTATGATATAATTAGCGATGCAAGAACACTCAACAATAACTTAGATTAGAGCTCGGTAAATAAAATCGCTTACAGGGGTGGTTCAAGAGCCGTGGCCCTAATATAATAATTCCGCTCTTCATCGCCGCTGTATATATACTCGATATTACATTGTATTTCTTATTTACGCGTCTGTTTTTTAACGAGCTTTGAAGACCTATACCTTCAAAGCAGATTCGCACTGAGTTAAGACTGTGCTCTTTATTCACGAACGCAACGTATTGCTATTTCTCTCTATAGCGACTCGTTTCGCGGCTGTTCGCACGAGCTTTATGAATAGTTATAATCGATTATGAGCTCGCACGAATAGCTATCTTGCTTGAGTACACACATGTGCTTCCCACGTGTTCGCTCGGCTACTTCTCGTTGGTTGGCTGACAGAAGCGTTTTCTCGCCCACCACACAGCGGCTAGAGCAGCCGCTAAAAACCCTATACCGGCGACGATTCCCATGGAAATCGCTCTGTTGCGACGGTAAGCGGGCACTTCCAAACGGACTCGATCACTGATCGCGATGTCGTCGATAACAGACATCGCCGCCACTTCGAAAGTGTAAAAACTTTCCTCCTCCAAAGTTTTCACTGGAGTAATCATTACAAAATTTTAAGTAAATTTTAGTAAAACTAAATTATTGATTGATAATTATTTCATGAGAAATTACGCACCTAGATAATAAGTGTCTGTGGTTTCTGCTCTTCCGTATAAATATTCAGATGGTCCTCTAAACCATCTCACACTATAAAGTCTAACTTGATTCTTGCCGTACTCGGGTGGCTCCCAAGTGACTAAGTATCCCTCAACTGTGGCTTGAACTCTTACGTTTAGCGGTGGTCCCATGCTCTCTTCTACAATAGATTTGTATATATTTTAGCTCCAAAATATTATTTGATCGACATTATGTTAAAATTTATCTTCAAGCTTCTACCTTACCGTGCGAACTGCGATATTCTGACGGTGAGTTGTCATCCATAGAACCTGGAAATGAAAATAAATTGTTAGTTTATATAACTTGCTTTACACTACAGTTAAAATAATGATTACTTAGTCGTACTTGGTTGAGTAAATACCCGAACTGCTTTGCTAAACATCCCGTCACCGTGCTTGTCTTGGCTTAATACCATGAACTCATATTCTCGTCCCGGATTAAGATTGTTTACCGTCGCCTCTGTAATCTTCCTCGAGACAATCTTCATGGTTCTCCATTCTGACGTGTCCGTAGGTCTGTACCTGCGCGTAAAACGTTATTTTAGATCAAGCAAGATCTTTTTTACCAAGCAATGTTTTAGAATTTAACATTTTATTGCTAATTAAGTGCTAATAAATGCTAATAAGCGCTAATAAGTTTTATCATATTAGTTTACCATACTGAGTATTCCATTTTCGGCCTTACGTATCCGGGTATCCAAGTGAGAGTGACGGCATTTTTGCTACTGTTGGCGCTTAGATTGTACGGCGCTCTGGGTGGGACATTCAGTACCATTAATTCAGCATCCGCGACAACTGTCGCTGCTTCGTTGCTGGCTGCGCATTGATACAGTCCTCGATCGTGCTCTTGAATCCTTTCTATTGTGAGGTTACCCCCGGTTACAATAATTCTGTCAAGTGACAGAGGCGATCCATCCTTTTGTCGAAAAGAATTGTTATCACATATCAAATTTATTACGCAATTGATCTATTTAACAATCAGGACAACGCACTTTGTACCATACGATAGTAGGTCGATGCGCATCATCGCCGTCTCTGGCGTCGCAAGGAATCTCCAGGCTCTCGCCCAACTTTCGCATATACAAATGTTGCGGCGTTATCGTGAACACCGGCGGTCTTTGTACTATCTGCAAGAATTCAATCATGCAAGCGTTGATAAATATTAAGCAATTTATATTAATTTCGTTTATTAGATAAGAGGAAAAATCTGTTTGGCTGCGTTCTAGAAACCATGCGAGGATTCACAATTAGAGAATAAAAGAGCGTTTAACATTCGCCGCTAACTGGTCAATGGTCTTAATGCTGATGTTATCGCAGTTGATTAATTTCTTTTTTTATACAATCCGTATTGTGACATCTCGAGCAACGATGATGGATACTCACTACAGAGATCGAAGGGCTAGGTCCTTCGGTGCCCAGCTCGTTGTACGGAGTGCAACTGTAGCTTCCCGAATGCGTCTCGTCCACTTTGCTGAAGTAGAGAGATCCGTTTCGTCTGTAGAAGACACCCTGCACGTTGTAGGGATCGAAGAGAAATCCGTCTTTCTCCCAGCGAAGATTCGTCAGGGGTGGATTCGCCCTGAAGTGGCAGTCCAAGAGGGCTGGTTTGCCGTACGGGAGATAGACCTCCCGGGGTGCGTAAATCACTTTCGCCTTATCTGCGAGTGAAGAAGTTTATATTAGTTTATAAATGTGAAAAAGTTTATTAGTCATAAATGTGAATTTTATAGCATGGCGCGACAGGTAATTGCTATAATGCTCACATTGTACATTGAGAAAGGCTGAAGCGCTTTGTTGGTCTCCGTTGTCCCCGGTCACCACGCAGGTGTATTCCCCAAGGTCGCCCATAGCAGCTGAATTTATCGTCAACGTTCCATCGCTGCCGGTGGACGCTCTTCTTCTAAGATCCTGTTGCGATAATAAATTTGGCACTAAATCGTTTAAGTGTCGAGAGCACATAAAATATATCGAGTAAATTTTTCACCTGTATTTCGGGTATCGATACTCCTTCGCGAAACCAGTTTATAATTGTCCCTTCGCCCTTAGCGACGCAGTCAAAAGTGATCGTATCGCCCTCCATGGCAGTCTTATTGACAGGTGGTACTGTTAGCAGAGTATCACCTGGAACAGTCGTCGCAATCGGCGAC